GGAACTGTGCAAATCTGAGGTAAAAAAAAAAGCTTAGAGAGCATCCACGGAGGAGGTACAGCTGCGCTGAAAGGCTGCAGTAAGCAGCGTGGTTGTGTTCTGCTTCCTGCGGCGCTGGGCGCTCACAGGAACCTCAACAGGCGCTGCAGGTCTGTAACCGTGCCACAGCCTCACCGCAGGCCCGAGGGGGCCGCCTGCGCCACAGCCATTCACGAACACCATGGGCTACATGCACCAGCTAGCCCCTGCTACGTTTACAACAGCACCCAGGATAATCTGTGTAAGAGGACAGTTTGTGCAAGCAAAGTGTCAAATCTTGATACGCATCCTTAAGAGTGACAGATTAAGAGGTTTCCTCACCCCAGCCTAAAATTTGGAGCCAAAATCAGGAGTTAGATACAATCAAGTAGTACGTAGAAACAGCAAGTCCTTTGCATCAGAATATAGTTGGAACCACCAGGCAATTAGAGACAAGACAAAGTCCACAGAAGCCAGAATAACTTAAAGCAAAAAAAGAAACAACAAACCATGTCCCAGTTAAAGAATGAAAATCCCAGCCTCCACTGTTTCCCCTTCCTAGTGTGCCACAAAACACCAGCATGAATGGCGCTATGTGGATAGAACAAAGATAGTTGTTTCTAAGAGTTACCAGAAGCAAACATTAACTTAATCAGTAGCTCAGTGAAAAGGCACAGAGCTCATTTCTTATCTCTAAGACTTTATCTGTACTTTTAAGGAGCATTAACTTTACTGGTGAAATGATGTGGCAAGCTCTCAATTAAAATGTAATTTCTTGAAGAGGGGTCATCTTAGATAAACTTTTCCCACCATGCCAGTAAAAGCAGGTTGGTTTTTTTCACTTGCAAAAGATTACTGTAGCTTAAACTCGTAAGCTATTACAGCTGCAGTACAAATAAAGAGTCCCACCCATAGCTACAGGAAGTCTGCAGTGTTATAAAACAAACAGAAAAGTAAGCCTCTGTTTAGAATAGATTTGAGTGTGGAAATCCACAGTTTGACAAAGAGACTGATAACAGTTAAGAGCAGTTTATCATAAGGAAGTGCATGAAGTTTTTCAAACTTGTTCCCAGAGGAGCAGAGACACAGTTACAAAAGCACTTGTGAGACATATTACAAAAACAGAAGTTGAAATCATGTGTTCACTGAATCGGAAATAAACTGGTGACAGCAAAACTAAGACCAGCAAGACTGCGACACCCTGTTCTCTTTTAAGCCGTTGCCCATATTGCGTATTTCCATCAAGGACAGAGGTAGCTTTTGGCCTGGGTTACACTTAAATCATGTAACAGCAACCCCTAGTGGTGTTTCCTGACACATCTCTCTTGTCTTCAACAGGAAACAAGGGGAGGACACAAGGCAAACCTCAGCAGCACCAAAGCCCTGTTCTGGAAAACACAACCTTGCTTTCAAGGAATCACAGAAGGTACCAGAACAGTCAAGAGATAGTCTTTGGAGTGTTCCTACTTGCGTCACCAGTCTGAGAAGGACACCTTTTGCAAAGGAAGCCTTGAGTTCACTTGGAGGAAAAGTACAAGAACCCCATTGCTTTAGCTGCAAAATTACCCAATTTGATGTAGTGCCACTGGTTGAACTCGTTAAATATCCCATATCTTGAGCATCCAAGGCTTTTTGTATTGTCCTCAAGTCCATTTTAAAGGCAGTTCCCTAACCAGCATGTTCTTGTCTGTCCCAAGCAACAAACTCCTATCATCTGAGGGGACTTCAGCCATAACAAGTAGGTACCAGTTTTGTTGAAATCTAATTGTCATGGCAAATCAGATAATTTTAGTTACACTTCCCCCCACAGGCTTCCAAGGCATGTTCCAGCAGCCAGGGTCCTTGAACATTTTATCTGTAAAAGGAGTACCAACACCATTACACACAAGAGTTTATCCAAGCAGTAGGACCAAGGGATTTGGTATATGTCCTCTACAAGCAGTCTTCAAAACTCTGACATCAACTCATGCTGGATTGTGTAAGCTATATTGTAGATTAAAAAAATACATATATATTTTGAGTTTCAGTGTGAAAATACAACATGGCAGGAGGTAGGTTTCAGTACACTTAACATTGAGGATTTTGACAAAGCTAGTATGAAGTCCAGTGTTGTCTCACCTGTTCAACAGCAGAAAAAGACACATTTTTCCTATTACAGAATACTTTTAAGGGCCACCTTAATATAAATTCTATTCAAAGTACATCTGTTTGTCAAATTTTTCAGCTTGTCAGAAGCTATCAGAACACAAGTGGGTTACAGACAGCTAATCTGAAAGCAAAAAAAACACTGACAATTTCACAAACTATAGAAAGGCATCAGCATTTACAGCATTCAGAACAGTATTGTTTGCTTAATAACCCACAGCAGTACAGTTGGGTGCAGGAATACCCTTGCTTCTCTTCCATGTATAGTAATACAAACCCATGTATTATTCTTACTTGCTTTATGGGCCATGTTATGACGGTTTCTTGAAACCTTTTAGGATGGGGTAGATGTTTTCAAATGCCTCATAGATTTCAGAACGCTCTTTTGCTCCTAAAAAGACATTGGGAGGGGAACCCCAACCCAAGAATTAACAAGAATTGAGAATAACTGAAAGCAACTCAAACATAAGATTACAAACCACGAAGAAACACAAGAATTGAAAGTAACTTCTTATTAGTTTGAGGCAGAATTTCCACCACACTTTCTCCACCTCAGAAAGAAGAATTTCTAGCTTGCTTTCTTTAAGACTAAACTTTTGTTTAATCTGTGAAACCAAGCCAGCAGTTAGCTACTCTTGACAGGTGCAAAACATTGGCTCTGGGGGGAAAAAAAAGAAAGCAACTGAGGACCACCATGGTGTTATCTGCCTAACAGTAACAGCTCTGCTTGTCCATACATCAGTGGGAAAACAGACAAGAAAGCAAAGGTTTTTATTTCAATACTAGAAGTTGATCCATACTCTGAGAACTCCCCTCGTCCACTTCTGAGAAGTTTTTTTATTTTTAAGCTTTGTTAGGGCACCTGTGACTTCAAAGCTAGCCTTTTCCATGTTACTGCAAGTACATCTTTAATACCAAGGCTTGCATTCTAACTGTATTGCAGTAGGCAGGAATATTCCTTACCAGTGACAGTACGCTATCATGCTAATACAACAAACATCAGCTACAAAAAAAAAATTGAGTTTAAATGAATTAGCAATTGGATTAAATGCCACTCAGGATGACTGTGCAAACCCTTCCCTCAAAACACACTTGGACATGACTAATTCACCTGCATTACTACAACCTTTACTTTCAAAGGGTTACTTTCAAGTTACTTTCTCAATTAGGAAAAAACCTCTCAGCTCAAGTTCAGTTCTGTCCTTAACAGTTGGGCCCAATGTTCACAGACAAGGACTCACCTTAGTGCTTCTGGGCCTCCTGCACACTCAAGGGTAATTACAATTACTGTACCCAGAAGTACAAGTTACCAGTGGAATAGAAGTGGCCAGTGTAATTTTACCAGACACAAGAAGGTAGGGGGACATTGGAGGGGGAAGTATTCAAGCTTAGTGCAGAGCATGCCATTTTCAATTAGTTGAGTTGTGATTTATGGTGGCAAGTCTCTGGCTAAGGCAGGCACTTCTCTCTTGTCTTTCACATAATGCAAAGCATTCAGGTCCCCTGGGAACAAGTACCATTTGCCTTTCAGTACATCAGCATAAAAGTATTTCACAAGCTTTGAAAAAAGGTGCAATAGGAACATGCACTTAGGAATTCAACATTTTTTGACATGGGATCTGAGGTACGGATATCTGCTGAGCACGCTTACTCGGCAAGGCTTTTTGCCTTACGAGTGTTTTGGCCAGACAGTCTGGAACAAGTTCTTAGATCTCCACCCTTTCCTCTAATAATCCCTACTAAATGTTTAAGTGAAGTGTTTTAAGAAGTTTGCTTCCTGTCCAAGGGATTTTAAATTGCTTATTGTGATATTCATATGTAAGCACCTGAGTAATTACTAGCATGTCAGCATCCTGTTGGGATTCTGTACATTGACACATGGCATTATGCTATGAATAAAGATACTCAGGTTTAATGACAGGGAAATCTGAGACAGTACATGAAGCAGTATGAGCTTCTAGTGCAACAATACTGATATCCGTGGAAAACTCAGATAAGCAGCTGTAAGCATCAAAATGATTGTTGAGTGGCTTTACTGTCACAAGATATTCATTTAGCTAATGTTCAATTTAAATGCTCTCAGAAGATATTGTAGCTCTTGATTACAGACGTACAGAGGGAGACCACTTACCAGTCAGTACAACTTTTCCAGACACAAAGATAAGCAGCACTATCCTTGGTTTGACCATCCTATAAATAAGGCCAGGAAACAGTTCAGGTTCATAGCTGTTTCAAAACAAGCAGGTAAGATGAGCAAAATGCAAATACTGTTTCAGTGTTGTACACATAAAGTGCTCTTTAATTATATTAGCAATAGAGTAATTAAACCTAGATTTTAGCTAGCTATCCAGAGAAAGGCAGGTCAGGTTTTAGGTATCTTTAGAAGAAACCCAGTCATCCCAGCTGGAGCTGGTAGGAGTTCTTCATGCTTACTTTTAAAGACTTCTGAGCCACTTCTGAAAGTGATCTTTCCATAGCATTGCAAAGTTATTGTAGTCTTCAAACAGTACTCAAATCCTTCTTAGTCTGCAAAAAGTCCTTATCAGGAAGCATCTTGCACAGTAAAGAAGAGATGACAGCCAAGTCAATCTTTTCTATTTAGTCCCCAAATTAAATGCAAAATACTAAATGCAGTGCTAATAAAAGACAGTTTTTGTCAGTGCTAAAATCTTCATCTTTTCCTCAGTGATGGTAATAAGTAGTTCTGAACAAGCCCATCTTGATGGCACAGCATGCCCATCACTCAGCTACAGGTTTACTTTAAATTGATGGCTAAGACACCCAGAGAGAAAGAATCTGAGTGATATTCCAGAAACACACTATATTTTCAGTTCTGTATTCTGCAGCTGCAGTCTGGCTGTATGCCTGAAGGTTAGAAACCTTATCCTTGCAGATAACTCCCATCAAATCAGATGCCTAAGAGGCCCTTTTTGTATTAGAGGTACACAGTGGAGCAAGGGCACAGACCAGGTTCAAGTAGCTTAAGAGCTGCTACAATTAAGCCTGAAGCATTTAATCAGGACTGTTTATTTTCCTATTGACATGGTCTGCAGTGAAGAAAAATACCCACTGAGGTTTGATATTGCACTTAGCAATAACATGAGACTAGTAAAATTGCGATCACCAACACTGCTCAGATTAATGGAAGTCTCTGGCAGACATTGCTGATATACAGCAACAAGGATTGTGTCAACAGTATTCATAGTCAAAGAAAGCTTTTACAAAAAAAAAAAAAAAAAGCGTATCTTCATTAACCAACTGAGCAAACAACCCAGGAGCTTCTTGCAGTTCTTCAGCCCTTCATCTTAACCAGATCTAACTCACACCCAATTTATCCCAGAAGTGACTCAACACTTGTGTAGTATGCTCTCAGTTGCAAGTTTTCTAAAGCTGGCATTTCTGGCATTTCTGCAAGGAGAAAGCAGTGACCACCACACAGAAGGGCAATTTAGAACAACACTGTTGAATCATGTCGGTCATGGTTTCAAGCACTGGAAGCTTTACTGCTAGCTGCTGTATGTCATCCTGGCAATTAAGCAGAGGGTCATTGTGCCCCACTTGGAACAGGAGTTATTGCAGAAAACCTTACTATCTTTATCATCACACATGGCATCTACAGCCATTTCATGCTCGCTGAACCACTGAGCATTGTCTTTTAATGAGTAAAAGGCATGCTTGATATTCAGTATCTGGTTAATTATTAGTGTATTTTTTTTTTTTTTTGCCAGGCTTGTAAGCCTCAGAATTTGCATCTGTTTGGCAGCTTACAGAAGATACTGCTCCAAGTTGTAACTCTGACTTGCTGAACTGCTGGTGAGTGAGAACCAAGCCTTCCAGCCGGATGGGAAACCTCACATCACAGCTCCCAACCATATTCTGTATCTTGAAGTCCAGGAACTTTGCAGGGAACCCAAGCTTCTGTACCACACGTGCATACTTCCTGGCTGCAAGACGTGATTGCTCTTCACTAAGGAAAGGGCAGAGGGGGAAAGCAGCTTTGATTAGTGCTTTCTTCTGCTCTCAACATGGAAATCAGTTTAGAGACACTATCATGCTAATCTAAACTCCAGAAAAAAAAATATGTTACTGTTCAAAACAGCAAGTCGCTATCCTGAGAACCACTTCAGTGAGCTAGAAGGAGTAAGGCACTTTATCATTGGCTTTCCTGTCGTCTAGATGAATACACTGGAGCATGTTGCATCATCCAGGAGTTTCCTTCTTCAGAGGTTTCTTTCTCACTCCCTTACACCAGCTTCTCAGAGCTGATCCAAGAGGTAGACTGCAGACACCAGTAGAATCACCTAGCTAGTTGGGGTGGTGGCAGGTGTTGGAGAAGAGTCCTCCTAAGCTGTAAGTTAATGCATTATCTCACTGTTTAGGGACAAAAAATAAGGCAGTGGTGAACTTGAGGAAGAGCTTCAGAGTACAGAAATAAGATGTGTTTTTCTCCAATCCCATTTTTCCTAGAGGCAGATGTGTTGACTAGTGAACCGAGACACTGAAGAGAGACTTGACAGACAAAAGTTATGTCCTAACTCACTTTAAAGTTTGTGATAAATGCAAATAGCCTCTTACCAGTTCCTGGGCATTTTAACAGCTTTTCTGCTGATGTCTGCTCAGCTCTATCTATACTCAGGGACAGAAGTACACAGTTTAGTATTTACTAAGCTGTGTCATGAAGAAAGTGAGACATTTTTCAATACCAGTGCTTCGGTTTTTTCTTGCAATTATGACAGCTCTTTGCTAGGTAATTCAAACAAGGCTTTCTGACATTGTTCATCAGAAATAGGCAGAGCTGCAAGACCCAGACCTTTAGAGGGAAGGAAAAACACAAACCAAAAAATACCTTTTTGCTCCTGTGCAGACCATTTTTCCTGAACTGAAGATGAGGGCTGTTGTTCGTGGCTCCCTGATTCTCATGATCACAGCAGCAAACCTCTACAAATTCAAAGGAATACCTCACTGTCCAGCTGGTATCTGGTACTGTATTTCCTATTCATTTCCTATTCCTATTCCCATTCTTTCAAGAATGGTCACTTTCAAAGCTCAACACAGCATGCATTTACTTTGTGAGCCTTTGTTTACCACTATGAAGTTATCTTCCACACACCATCGCCCCACACCCAGGACCAGGGGGCTTAAAACTGCAGTCACAGGACCACTGCTTTGTCCCTTACATTTTGTTGAGCAGTCTGGAGTCACTTTTAGAAAGCCCATTAGTCCCAGTGAAATTCTACAGTCAAGGCCACTTGCTAGAAGTATCATGTAATACCAGTTTGACTCCACTAATTCTCTTTCCTCAGCCAGGAGTTTCAGGGCAAATCTTTCATCCCTCCCATTGAGGGCTGCTTGAGCCATTTCAGCCGGAGGTGGCTGGCCACATGTGGAAGAGTTCACCTCCTTTCTTAAAAAGCTTACTAACACCTCATTGCAGGGGCTTTATTCAAATTAAAAATACATATAATTGTGGTCCCCTGTATTTCTTTTAAGAGGCCCAAGCTGTAGATTCTTATGATTTTCCCCTGTGGGTCGAGACAGTGCTGTTAGAAAGAGTACACAGCTCGTACTGAATTTACTGAATTAATGTATTAGAATCTATCAGCACTGAGGAAGGTAAGTGAGTCCTTCATATTTACCTTTGGGTTATATTCTGCATTTCTGGCATGCAGAGCTATGTTCTTCAGATCTAGTTTACAAGCCAAATTTACAGTCGACACTATATTCCTGAGGAATGAGAAAGGAATTTTCTTATTGCAAAAGCAAGCCACTGCAGAGTCAACCCCCAACATGATTAACTTAATGTGAAGTCACACTCCAATTAATAATTACCATGAACTCATTTTCTGCCTACCTATTCCCTACTCTAGCATTAAGCTACTTTTGGCAAAACTTAAGTAATTCAATACCAGAATTACAGTTTCTGAGATACAACAGGGTATGAAATCATTAGTCCCTGAATACTAAGTTTATGTGCCTTCCAATAACTACAGCACTGAAGCCTTCTACAGCTTTGAATTGAACCATTACTAAGTATTTACAGAGTTACTACAGCACTCAAGTTAGTTAAGATTATATTATTCTCTACAGGAATAAACTACTCCATAGTTGCTCTAGCCTAGACAGAGCCTTTTAATGAGGCCAGAATTTCTCACACTTCATGCCCCTTTCCCTTGCTCACTTCAGACTGTTTTCTGCTCTCAGAAAAGCATGCTGACATCTTTAAACCCCTGGAGTCTGCTGTCATCCTTAATATTCTCCTTGCTGGAATAAATCCTCCTTTTCAAGTATTTTTGTCTTTTCATCCTGCAGACTGAAATAACTAGCAGTACATACTATATATAATTTCTGCCAAACAGTTCTCCCTCTGAGGCTTCAGCAGAGTCTTTTTCCCAGCAGAGACTTTTTCCCCTTAAGCCAGAGGCATTTCAGATGCTCACTCACCCAGCATGTTTATCAAGTCCACTCTCCCATTTTGCTAAGCTGTGTACTGTTCCATGCCACTTCCATTTTTGTGTTGCACTGATCAGCACAGTATCCAGTTGCCTTCTAATATTGTCAGTTCATTTGCTCCACATCTCCTCAAAGAGGAGTAACTGCCCCTGTATAGTTTTTTTTTTTTGTGGGCTTATTTAAGCCCAAACCTCCTTGCTACATTCTGTAAGTGAGAAGTTAGAGCAGTACATTGCAGTTTTAGCAGAACTATGACTTATATATGCTACATATATAATACATAAACTTACTGTAACTGAGGAACTATGCCAGAGCTTTCTGATGCAGGCGTCACTGGGGTTATAGGAGTCATTGGTATCAGAGGAGGGCACATGCCAGATGCTTCAGGAGATGGTTGAGTTGCACCTGGGTATGACAAGCTGCTTTCATCCACAAAGATACCACTGTCCTCATTTCTTGATATTGACCCATCAAGCTCTTTTTGCTTTTCATAGCCATCTTCAGATAGATTTTGTTCTTTATCTTGGGTAATATCTGGAAGAAAGCTGAGATCCACAGAGAAGTCTGCAGGAAGATCTTTGGGCTGATTCAGTTGAGAACCAAACACATCTTCAGTGGTTTGAATTGGAAGGTCTACATCATAAGGGCTCATGGGTGTAAACAGCTGAGGACTAGCTGAGAGGTCATCCTCGAATTAAGAAAAAGTGTCATTAAGACTCTTGTATTAAAACATTTACTTCAACTGGAAGACTAAATTAAGATTGATCTAATCAATGAGGAAGTTTCATTCATTTTTTCCCCCGATACGTATTATAGCAAAGAATCTTTAAGATTTGAAATTGTGTCTTTTTTTGTCTATCAGCATATAAAAATCCAGATAACTTCTATAGCAGAGATACACATTTCCCCACCACGTTTCAAAGGCAATCTAGAATACTCCCATAATACCACAAATTGAGAAATACTGAATACCTTCAGCTGCGATTGGAGGTACAGTGATGGCACTTTGCCCTTCACAGCCATTGTCATGCCTCAGTTATTCACGTAACTGACACAATTGCTCATGACTTTTTCTAAGGCAGACAGCTGGCATTTTCTGGCTGGCTTTAACTCCCATCCAGTATATATTACTGTATCCTCTCCTTGCTACCAGAGGACAGTGTCAATGTTGTTTTGGATTTGTGCAACAGAGGGCAGCAGCTCACAGAATCACGAGCTTGCTTTCAGCTGCTGGAGGTCACCAGACTGATTCAAGTGAGACAGCAAAGCCAGTATCCTTTCACAGATTGCATGCAACATACCCGCAAAGTTCTTGCATATTAATTTATTAAAAACTATTTAAAAGGCATTATAATAGTGAGGAGGCAAGAGTTTAGAAAAGGATTTATTCCCTTCTCCATCAGCACTTAAGCCTCTAGTTAGTAGAATACATCTTCCAAGAAGGTGGTTTCTGCCAGTGCCCCCAGCAGGTGACAGCTTGGACTAGGTGATCCATACAAGAGGTTATGTGTTCATTTAGGCATTTTTGGCTTGAGAGCCAAAAGGACTCAAAAAGTCCAAGCGCAAATCAGAACAGGGAATAGTGCACAAGACCGAGGCCTTAAGTTGGCAGCAACTGCCTGAGCTCCAGTGGGAGCAGGGTTTCCGGATCAGTGCTCAGTGCTTTCCAGCCCCGAGCTAGTGCTGCTCTGTGTCCTGTGCTAATCACCTCACTTAATGCAACCATGCACAAGGGGAGATCTCTGCTCCTACTTCACAGTATATTTGCCTATAGACGCTTGGAAAACCGTTCTTAAGTGACAAATCCTCCCAGAGAACCCTTACCAGCTTGAATACAGATGCGATCAGGTCAAACTCTGAAAGCACCACGAACACCTAAATTCAAAACTATTTCTAAAACTGATTTTTAGATGCAGAGCCCCACATGAGATCAGTTGGGACAGAGTGTTATTGAATAAGACAAAGTACTCCATAACCCATTGGCTCTTTGGAAAACATGATCCAAGAGCACTACTTGAGAATTAAGAGGTCATATACAAATGCATTAACATTTACTAATAACAATATACTGAGCCTGTAGGACTACGCACACATCATACTAAGGGGCATCAGAGAATGTGGTAATAGTCAAAAAACAACCCCTCACAGTTTGCGGCACAGCTTAAAGAAAGAAGCTGATAGAAAAATGAGGGGTATATAAGGCTGGAATTATTTAAACAGCTGCAAAACAAGTTAAAAAAAGTAACAAAGTAAATTGCATAAACTAGGTCAAAACAGAGAGCAAATCTTCCTTTCTCATCAGGCTTCCACAAAACTGGTGTGGGGAAAAGCGCTTGTAGGGTTAAGTGCTGGGGAAGATTGCCTTCTTGTTAGACAGATGCTCAGAGGCTGTGAAAGGGGGCACAAGACCATGTTTGTATTGGGCTAGCTGCCAAGGGTTATTGCTATAGACTCTAGGTTAATTAACTTTACTGAAGGCCTGATCAACTGCATAGCTTTGGACATCTCCCAGCAGCTCCAGGAAGGAAATTTCACGCATAGATCCTGTCTGAGATCACTGCATTTGGGGCAGCTTGAGGTGAAACAGTTATTTTCACTTCCACTGCAGGAATCTCTGCAACCCAGTACACAAATCAAATCCTTTAAGCAACGGACTTTTTTTTTTTTCCTTTCGGCAGTGGTATCTCACACATCTGCCATTATCAAACATCACAGCAAGTCTGAAATACAGGAAGTTCAGTAGTAGTTGTAAAACCCTGGTTATACCTCACCTCATTATATACTTTGTAGGGCCATATTCAGGGCGCTGTACTGACTGCCAGTAGGAACATTCTGGATTTAAACAGTCTGCACTAAACCCATTCTCTGAGCTAGTAAGTGGCTTATAACAAGAGACCCGTATAGAAATCATGTTGCCTGTGTGAAGAGGGTGCTTAGATGCGAGTGCAACCCTCTCCTAGACCCTCACCCTGTGGTCTCTGCGACCACCCAAGACCAGGGCTAATCCACCTATCAAAAAAAGAAATGTTTGCAAACGTTCACCAGACAGAATGAAGAGATGTGAGCATCCTGCCCCCTCAGAGCCAATGCACAGGCTGGTCCATACAAACAGCACTCCGTTCTAACGCAGCAGAGCTCCTCTTTGAGCAGATTAAGAACTACCTCCTCAGCAGAGAGCCCCTCTAGGGTTCCTCATGCTCCCACCAGCAGCTGTGGGACGTTATAGGTCGCTACTCCCCACATAAAGCTGTGTGGGACGGCGCCCGGATCACGGCGGATCAGCTCCACGGCCCGGCCGGAGCGCGGCAAGGACGCCACACTTCAGGGACGGTCTCAAACCCATGTTCAGTGCCGCGTTGGTGGTATAGTGGTGAGCATAGCTGCCTTCCAAGCAGTTGACCCGGGTTCGATTCCCGGCCAACGCAGTTTATTTTTTAACCCCCCTACCTGCCCTTCGCAGCGCTCCAGGTATCTCTCCAGCGGCGACGCGCCGTCCATGGGCACAGCCACCTGCCAGGACCCCCCGACACCGCCCCGGTTCTGGCTTTAATCCCCAGGGGCAGCACCGGGGTCAGGTGCGGCTCCTCAAGGGCCGAAGCCCAGTGCAGCTGTGAGTTTTATGGTTTGAGCCTTTGCAGTGCTGTCTGCAAGGGTTTGCTCCACCCTGCGAAAGGGCTGGAGAAATCGGGGTGCTCTGGTGTGCTTTAGAGGAGCCTGCAAACACAACCTGCGCCTGAGCTCCCCGGAGCCTGCTTCCCTCTCAGGGGCTGAACATAAACGTGGAGTTGGAGCCCTGGCTTAGACCTTGCAAAGATAATGCTTCACTTCTGCCTGGTGCTTTTTAGCGAGCAAGTGGAATGTGCCCTTAATTCCTCCCACCTGCCTCATCGGCTGCAATAAGGTACATCTGGTCCTCTGAGGAGAGCCCCAGTCCAAAATTACAAACGTCAGGCTCACGCCGTTGCAGTGGAATGGTCTGTTCTCAGATGGGCCAGTATTGCAAATGCTGCTTAGGGGGAGGAAGCCATCACTCCTGTTTGCTGCTGTCCTCCCCTTGCAGGTGTTTTCCCCACCGGTGTCTCTGTTTCTGCCCCTTGTGAGCAATGATTTAAGGCTATTCCCTCGTCAAAAGACTCATGTGAAGAGTCTGGGTGTTTGGGAGTGCATTCCCAGGAGGGAGTTTGTGTTGCACGTCACTGATTGATGCTGCAGGAATGTCACCTGCCAACGCTGCTTGGCTTGGGAGCTGCTTGACTTGATGCCAGTGGCTACTGTCGGACTTGCTCCTGCTCTCCTGTCCTGTTGCTGTGTGTGATGGATGGATGAGACACATCCTTTTCTGAGCTGGTGGATGTGCTGACTGCTGTGACCAATGTATCCTGTTCCTGTGCTAGACAGGACTTTGCTTTCTGCTGTGAGATCTGCTTGCAAACAGCTAGCTGAGCTGAAGTAACCCTTTGGAAGAAGATGTAAAGCCAGGCACACAGCAGGTCTTTGGGAGGTGCTGCCAGGCTCTTCTGGCTGCCCCAGAGGTGCAAAGGTTTAGGTTAGTAGCCTCTGTCTGTGCTGCAGAGTGTATGTAGCTGATGAGCATCCTTCCCTCCTCAACACAGCCTGCTGGGCTGGTTTCATGGTATTTCTGTGACTCGCCTTCTCCCAGTGCTTTACAGGTGCCAAACACCCAGCCCCAGAGAAATCCGGTCTTAAGAAGGTAGATTTACATCACACAGCCCTTCCCCGAACACCCTGGAGGCAAGTTAAGAAGTAAAGCAAAGAGAGGATTCTCAGAGAGGTTGCACCTTGAATTATGGAGGCTGATGTAGCTAGCTGGGACCAGCTGAGGATGGTTATAGCTAAAACATCCCATTTAGGCTGGCCTCAGATAGTTATGCCAGCACCGTGGGACAGGGTACTGAGGGCTGGGATGGCTTGGCTCCCACCAGTAGTGGCAAGCCCAGCCCTCACAGGCCTCTTTATGTCAGTGCGGGCCTCTATTGCCCACAGGGGTCGTTGAATTCAACACAGGGATTGTGCTGAATTTGCTTTGTTCTTACAGTGGCATCTCATGGGGATGGGGAATTGGCACTCCCTCAGTGTTGAGAACACTTGCTCTGCTGAAGTTGAGAAGCTGGACTGTTGTGTAGTAGTCATGGTGTTTCCCTGGTGTGGTCCTGCAGCTGTAGTGCTGAGTTTCCTCAGCCAATTAATCCTCTGTTGCACTGCAGAAACCCCTGGAGATGAGCTATGTTCATCTTACAGCTCCTGGGGGTTTCTGTGTCTGCATTTTGTGAACCTGAGAGGTAGAGGTCAAGCTGTGGTGATTAACTGGGAGAGGCTACATCAGAGATGAACATAAAATACATATCTCTTAATACCGGTGTTGCTTCCTGCCTTGGATGGGGGCATCCTGCAAACGACATGAGCATCAGTGCAAAGCGATGTGATTTGGGGTAAGTTATACAGTTTGGTACCTCTTCTGTTAAAAGGCTGTAAGATTGTTTGCCCTTCTTGAGGTGGAGAAGAAGAGAAAATGTTTAGAAGCTGAGAGATCATCAGAGGAGTCAAGAGTCACATTCTGTGGGTGATTCAAGCTCTCAGGGTTGCTTTGATGTAAGGATCTTCTGAATGCTGCCCAAGGGAGGGGAGGCAGCCTTGGGAGGGCTCCGTGCTCACAGCCTCGTCAAGGCTGAGCACCCACTCATGGTGTCCAACGTGTTGGAGGCTCAGTGAGTGGTGTGCACAGTGATGGGGAGTCCCAGTGAGTGGAGGCCCAGGCAGTGGGAGGTCAAGAGAGCAGCGATCCAGCAAGCAGGAGGCACCAAGTCCCTGGGCTTCCCCCTCCCCGAGTCTCCCAGTCTCTGGGTCTTCCTTTCTTAGTCATCAGAGGCATCATGCTCCCATTGCTGCAAGGTAGTTCTCTGCCTTCCTTCTTCAGCAGGAGACTCTGACCCCTGTCATCAGTTGGACAGATGGTAATTTAACATGCATCACTTGGAACTTGTGAGACTTGCCTGCTCAGTTTCTGATCATCCAGGCCAAATAACATTAGAAAGGACAACTATTTTCCCCTTCCCAACTTAAAAACGAATATTACTTTCTCAAGCTACTGCCTTTTTTTCGTTTTTTATTCCCTTTGGAAAGCAGCAGCCACACAGAGCCAGGCCGAGGTGACTCATGAGCAGGACTGCTCAGAGCAGGGAAGGAGCCACGCTCCCTCTGTGTGCTGGAGGCAGCCGTTACGCACAGCCCTGCTTGGTGGGAGCCAGTTATGGGGTGATGAATCATCTGAAGTGCACAGTTACTGTAATGATGAATTGTCATGAGTCTTAATTAGCAAATTGCTTAATTTTACTTAGAAAGTTGATGGTTACTACAACAATAAATGCTTTGAGCATTCTTTGTAAGCATCATTCAATATCTTTCTTCCTTGGATAACTAATTGGAGAAGACTATTCCACAGAGCTACCACTAGCATGCCTGTATTGGTCTCTTGAACATTTCTGCAGCAGACATTCCCACTTTACCTAGATGCTTTAATTTCGCTGTGGGATGGGACTAATCACAGGAGACTTTCAAAAACCTGGAACGGACAAGAAGCAAGTCAGTAAGGAAGCTCTACCTGTTTTATTCATTAGTGCTCTCAGCAGCTGCCTTCTATTCTAGTATGCCGTAAATGTCTTCCTGCTTGCTTTGAAGTTGGTTAATCTGGTTTGGTTTTATCTTAGCTCTTTTTCAGGATCAAGTCTGAGAATTAAAAGCTCGTGACTGACAATGTTCTGCTTTCTGCCCTCATGAGCTTTATGCTAAACTTTTATAGATGTAATTGTCTCAGAAGAGCGTGGCTTGTCTCATGTGTAGCTTGCGTCTCCTGGTGCCCTCACTGCCTGCAGCATTAAAGCAACTGAGAGCAGGAGCATGTTCCAAGAAGAGAGGAATATATTCTGCACAAGATGTCTCCAAATGCAGCACATTCCAATTACATCAGGACTCTGTGCTTCTTGTTGCAAAGATGATTCCTTCTCTTTGGTTTAGCCCTGTTTTGGTTGCTGTGCCTTGATTTCCTTCTTGCCAAGGATGTAAATAGAGTGAGGATCTAAGGAGGACCTCAGAGAGGGGGTCAGAATGAAGTGCAGGTAAGCTGCAGTGAGGTCGGTGGGGTCTCTGGGAGTGGAGGACGTGCATGGAGCTGGCAAGGTTCTCAAGAAGCTGAAGCACAAAAGGCAGCTCAGAGGTAGCTGCTAGATGCTGAAGTGCCTTCAGTCTGACAAGTGTGATGATTGCTGTCTCATACTTATTTGTCCCGTAATATTGCATTCTAAACCTGATCAATGCTTGTCAGTGACAGTAGATAATGGATTTATTGCCAGGGAAGGAAAAAAGCCACCACAACTACCCATTATATAATAGTGAGTAATTTAACTTTTAATTGTGAATTGTAAAGTGTATCATCACTAGGTTATGCTGGTGTAAATACAAACAGAATCAGGTTCATTAGATTTGATATTTGTTTCTAACTTGTCCTGTGTAAATCAAGAATCACCCTCTTAGAGAAGTGAGGTTACAATGACTTGAAATTGTGTCAGAATCTAGTTTAATTTTCCAGGTTTACTGGGTGATGGTGAGAAGAGCTGTAACTTCCCATTTACCTACTCGTGCCTTATGTCCCTCCCTGAATCAGATGATGCAGACCAGGTCACATAGTGGTAAGGCTGCCGCTTCTTTGTCTCAGTCAAACTGGGGCTCTCTTATCCCCTGAACAGGACAGTGATGGGGGATTGGGTATTCTTTGCAAACATTAGCAGGCTCTCAGCATTTGTCTACTAATGCATGTTACTTCCATGCATGCTGGCAGAGACAAGTGTGAAGTCAATGCTCAGTGTGCATTGACTTCTGGAAAAAGAAAGTGAAAAGTAGCTTCTGTCAGATGGAAAACGGGTAAACTGGCTAGAAAAGAGCCATTTGGTAAACTGGCTAGAAAAGAGCCATTTTTTCTGGCTTCTACAGCACTATTATGTGTGATGAAGACACTAACTGCCCCCATGTCAGAGAATTGCTGAGAACCAGACCCAGAGAGGATTGCCAAATCCTCCCCTGAATGCCAGAGGAAGCACTGTAAGCAAAAGTCATCTGTCTCAACTGAAAGGCTGAATGGTGACTTAAAACTATACATTTAATTTTCTTATCTGTGCAAAGCCACAAATGAAGGCATTTTCTGTATGTTGTTTGCATAGAAATCCACTCGTCCTGGCCCAGCTGTGCTTTTAAGCCTTGTACTGCAATGGAGGGGGGGAAGAGCACATTGGTCTATCCTTATTTTTCATTCTGTATTACATTTAAAATGTAGACAGAAATGGGGGAAATGGGGGGGGGAAGGGTGAGGAGGGGGCTTTAAACATTGGCTGCCGCCTTAATTGCAACCTAGCAATTAACGGCCACAGGCTTTCTTGGACATCTCCTCCATGAATGTCACATGCGAATATATCTGACACCCTGGTTCA